CACACACACACACACATGAGAGAGAGAAAAATGCTCACCAAACTTTTCTGATAAAATAGCTACAAATTGCTTATTTAAAATATTAATCATTGCCTTCCCATCACCATTTTTTGCTAAGTTGGAAATTGTGGATTCAATAGAATAAGGGATATTTCTATAACTTCTGGTCTTAATATTTTAAAAAGAAAAATACTGTATGTATGTCTAAAAGTTCTCACTCTTTTTTGCACACTGTGCAGTGATGCTTATTGCATGTCATTTTTGTTTTGTTTGTTTTTTGGTACCAGAAATTGAACGCAGGGCCTCACACTTGCCAGGCATAGGCTTCACCGCTGAGCTACATCCCCAGCCCTGCATGTCATTTTTAGAGCTTTCTTTTGTAGTAGCTTTAGGAAGCACTTTCCTAGTCTTACAAAGTCTGTCCCGTCATTTTGGACATTGCCTGAATCCCAGTCAATATTTATTACCATGCCCATCATTCCAATAAATCCTGTTTTATCTGTTTCTGTCATAGGAAATGAATCGATACCGCTCTTGGTGCAGCCTCTTGTTCGGTTATGACTGGGTTGGAATCCCGCTGGTTTACACCCAGGTATCAGATGCTTTGTGTGTGATATGTTATTTCTCCTTGCCCACCTTGACACTCAAGCTCCCTGTGGGCAGCAGCACCATCCACTCACTCCAGTTTCTCTCTGTTCCAGGTTGTCACTCTTGCTGTCTACACCTTCTTCCTTGCCTGCCTGATTGGACGCCAGTTTTTGGATCCCACGAAAGGCTACGCAGGGCATGACTTAGATCTTTACATTCCAGTCTTTACTCTCCTGCAGTTCTTCTTCTATGCAGGATGGCTGAAGGTAGGCAACAGTCTCAGTGCCTGGGATCCACTCTGTAATCTATCATGTTCTAAATTCTCCATGCTGATCCTTACTAAGCCTTTAGCAAATCACTCATGAGTGAGTCAAAGGTAGATTTAACATGCAGTAGCTCAGAAATGTGATTATTTTTCCATCAAGGATTAAAATGACAGAGATGTAGTCAAACTGTATTGCAGCAGGCTGAAGCAGTTCATTATGCAAGCAAATTAGAAGAACACTCTTTTATAGTTATTGATTCCTTTAAAGTTTCTGTGTGCTCCCATTAGGATTGTAGAAATGTAATTAAAGTAATAACTGTAACTGCATTGATATTCTATGCCACAATAAGCAACTAAGCAGAGTAAAAGAGAGTAAAGAAGAAGCCTGAGATATCAAACTTAAACATTAATATTGTAGTGGAATCTTGGTTCTGCCTGGCTCTGTAAATTGTTACATGCAATACTCTGAAATCTTACTAGCTGTCCCATAATATTAAATGCATCCCATTTTCAAAACAAGAACTGAGACTCAGAAAAGAATTCATCAGAATCAACACCAAAAACACCAGGATTCATAATGACTTTTGGTTTGCCAGGAATTTAAAAACAGGTCAGAACATCAAGAACGGCTTATCCAATTCTCAGGGTAGACTTTTGTTTCCCAACCACGGCCACCACCTCCCCACTTCTCTCAACCGCAACCCCAGATATATGTATAAATACCAGAAGCCGGGCTCTTCCATCACTTCTGTAAACTTCTAGAAGGGAAGTGTGTAGTGGGGAAGAAAAACAAAGGCCATGGCTTTACCAACTGAAATCTAATGACAGTTTGAAGACAACTAACAGAATTTCTAAATGTGAGGCCTTGCAAACAGCCACGTGCTGTCTTGCCTTCAGGCTGTGGCAGTGTTTTCCTTTCTGAAGCCTTTTCTTTCCTTGGCTTGAATCTTCATCTTGAAAAGTAAGTATGTTGGCATTTTAAATTATGCTCCAGAGACTACAGGCATGTCCTTTACAAATGGCAAAACATTTTTAACCAGATGACAATAATTACTAATTATTTTTACTCACTGAAGAGCAAGAAAGGGTAGGACAGATTAATGACTCTTATTTCCCACTAGAGAAAAAAGTAGACTTTCCCTCTATAAACATAGTATCTCCACAGTTGGCCCAAATGCTCTGTCTTATAATTTTCCCCCTCCTCTTTGAGTTGTGTTAACCTTTTAATTATTTGCTTTGTGTCCGTTTAAGGTGCTCAGTCAAAAACGAAAAGGTCCTAAACCAGTTGTAGTTAGTTGTTCCTTTCTTCCAGCATATTTCTAAAATATTAATATCCTTTTCCTTTATAAAATATTTTTAAAAGGTAAAATATGAATGACACAATTGTAGCTCCACTAGGATACAGGAAACTTTATAGAGTGAGTTTCCCTGGGCTGGGGATTTAGCTCAGTGGTTCCGCCACCTGCCTTGAAAATGCAAGGTCCCAAGTTCAATCCCTGGTACACAAAAAAAAGAATTGAGAGAGAAGTTAGTTTCCCACACCAATGAGCTGTGTCTTCACTTTTAAAGAGCTGTTCTATCCTGGCAGTTCAGATACAGTGGATCTTTGACTTATGAACTCAATTCATTCTCGAGGGCTGGTTATAACTCAAGTTGGTCAATTATAGGCTTAGGCTCTTCTACACAGCCTCCAAAGTCTCTCTCCTGTACACAGGCAGATCTCAGTGTCCTTAGAGAGGCACTGGCCCAGGATTTCTCAGTTAACCCACACAGGAAAGGGTGTTATAATGCTCCTTCCAGAACTCTTGAAGGCTTAAATCTGTATCTGACACCATCTAGAAGCACAAGCGGCCAGCATTCGGGTAGTAACTCAAGACTTTGTTCTTAAGTTAAAATTAAAATTCCATTCATAACCCAATTGTTCATATGTCAGGCCAGTCATATCTCAAGGGTCCACTGTATTTATAAATCTTTCCAAAGTGTGGCAGAGCCATCTTCACTTTCTGAACAGTCTATTACTCAGTTACTTGCTCCATGATCTTTGTGAGATTGTCAATTCACAAATTCAGGTGTCATTTTAATAATGGAGTATAGACTATAATAATATACACCAGACTCACACTGTAAAAGTGAAAATTTAGATATAATGAAAAGATTTTCAGGACCCAGTAGTCCATTTAATCTAAGCAAAATTCTAAGGGAGGGAAAAGGTATATTCTTACAGCTCACAATGAAGGACTCCACACAGTTATCCCCTGGGGCTCACTGCTGCAGGGCACAGCCTTGCCTGGGGCTGTCCCTTAGAACAAGCAGAGGCACCTTGTCTCTTTCTCAGTGGCTCAGAAACTCAGGCCATACTTTAAAACCTCCTGAAAGCTTTACCCAATTCCTGATGTGTGGCTCAGCTTCCACAGGTTAAATCAGAACCGCTGGAGCAGGGGCCCGGGCATCTGGTTTTCAGTTGTGAGGTTGTTTTTGAAGAGTTCCTCAAGTGACTTTCAGGTACAGCCAAGGTTGAAAATAACTGCTTTAAGTGATCTGACTTAAATTCAAAAAGCTAAGTGAGTGGAGTTTCTACCAAATGATCTCAGAATCTATAATTTGGGAATCATTCAAATGATACCTTTATCCTATACATATAAGTTTTTTTCTACCTAGATCTAATGTAAAATGTCCCACTCAAGCATGCACACACAGGCACACATACACAGATACAGAGATAATAAAAATTAAAGGAAATTATTCAAACAGTAAATGACAGTATGACAGGTTAACATATAAAGCTCTCATCAAGAAGACTATTTGATGCAAGAACATAAGAAAATTATTTTGGGCTGGGGATTTAGCTCAGTGGTTTCGCCGCCTGCTGTGCAAGCACAAGGACCGGAGTTCGATCCCTGGTACCAAAAAGAAAAGGAAAGAAAGAAAGAAAAGAAAGAAAGAAGGAAGGAAGGAAGGAAGGAAAGAAAATAATTTAATATTGACCAAATATAAGAAAAGTATGTAAAAAATTTAAAAATACAAATGTGTGATAAGAAGCTACCTAAACTTTTCCCAACCAGAAAACTTAACGGGATAAAAATGAATTCTTTAGGGTAAAATTAAGTAAGCCTCGAATACCACCTTGATGAATTAATAACTCTCTGACTCATTAACTTGGCAGTTATGTCTAATAATTGTAAAATCACCTTATGTTTTCTTTAACTGTGACTTAAATCTTTCTTTACTGTTTAGCCTTGTCTTATCATCTGGACATCATTTATGGTGAAAGAATCAAGACTCATTTGCTAAAAAATATCCGCCTATGGAAAACACACTCTCCTCTAGTCTTCATGTTATGAAAGTGACACAAAAAGAAGAGAATAAATCAATAATCATCCCCAGTCCCTGTTTAGCATTACAGACAGTATGATGACTTATTTTGTGTTCTCAACTGCAGGTAGCCGAGCAGCTTATCAACCCTTTTGGAGAAGATGATGATGACTTTGAAACTAACTGGTGCATTGATAGAAATCTGCAGGTTAGAGGAAATTTTCTCTCCTTTACAAACATTAACAGTAAACAATTTGTGATGCTTCCAATCTGAACTGACTGGACACAGGACCCAGGCATCAGAGCTTTTAGCTACAAATGAAAGAAGGTTATCTTTATAGCATGTTGTCCTCTTGGAGGCTCACATGTCCTAGATCTCAGTTCTTGGAAAATTTAAGTAGAACTTCAAGTCAGTTTTCTCTGTAAGTTTCTCCATTAGCTTTCCTCAGCCTCTTCCTTCTAGGACAAGTGCAATATTCAAGTCATTATTTTATCTGTTTTCTGTTCCCACCCAGAGAGGTTTACATGACATAAAATGGCACCCAGATATAATCCTAAACTCATAGCACATAGATTCTAGCAATCAGATGTCTAGCGGATGGACCCTGAGCCTGGGCCACATTGGACTGTTTCTCAAATTTTCCTGAAACACACCCCATTACTGCGAAGCACTATTCTAATGACCTTTCCATGAAGGACTGGCATAAGGAAATTTTCCTTCTGGACAAAACTGTATTCATTTCACTTCCATTTGTTTTAGGTTCAAATATTTCACTGTATATCATATTGTCAGTCTATTAGGGAAGAAGGGAAATGCCTAGATGACTCTCTCTTTGTTAAAAGTTGAGTGTGAGAGAATGAATAATTTATTCCTGTGTCATTTTGTCAAAAGCAAGAGGAAAGATCACTATATATTCAAATAGTATGGGCTTGATGATGTGCTTTTTTAAATAAATAAGAAACTAGGGCATAGAAGAAGTGATTAATATGTATTTATGGGGTTAACTAGGTGAGATGATGAGAATCTTCACCTTGCTGTCCTGGGGTGAAGTGGCTGCTGTCAGGGTAGCCACTAAGACAGTGCTGTAACTGTGAGTACAGAAGAAAAGGGTGCCTCACTTGCCTCCAGGTGAGATACAGGCCCACACTGAGGGGTGTGGCTTGATGCATGGAGGGTGGGCAGCTTAGCAGCCCCATTTTCACTATTGTCAAGGGCTCTTGAACAGTGAACAATAGGTATAACTCCACAGCAGCCCTGGTGTAGCAAGTAAGTACTGTAGGCATTTATTTGTATACTTACTCATTTAGACTCTGTCCCGTCACTCTCCAACTCCCGTCTACCTACTGGAAATTCTTCTCTTTTCTATAATTCAAATCTAAGCTATTCTAACAATATGACAATGATTTTAGGTCTCTCTTTTAGCTGTGGATGAAATGCACATGAGCTTACCTAAAATGAAGAAGGATATTTACTGGGATGATTCAGCCGCTCAACCACCATACACACTGGCTGCTGCTGATTACTGTATACCCTCATTTCTGGGGTCAACAACCCAAATGGGGTAAGTATTTTTTTTAAATCTTCAATATTTAGCAAATAACTCAATCAGTATCTACCTTTTATGGGAGGGGGTACTTTTTCACTGTATTTCATATGTAAGTCAGACCCTATCCAGTGGTTTTAACCTAACAATCTGTCCCAATGTACTATAAGACTTAAATAAATGGACTGAGTTCTGATGTCATTTATGCACAACTCTGGAATAATTTTATTAGATTTGATAATATTTCTGATTTTGGAGAAATACATGAATGGCGAAAAGTTTATTTGTGGGAGGCAGATCCTATAGTTTCTAAGTAACTTAAAGAAGAGAGCATAGACAAATTTACCAAGTAATAAACCTCCCCCAAGCCCCCAAAAAAATGGTAGAAAAGGAAAAATTTTTGTGACAAAACTGATTATTCCTGAGGATGCTCTAAGCAGATTGTGAAGTGGGTTTGAGTCCTGTAGCTGGCACTGTGACCATCTTTCCCCACCTTCTGTAGCATTCTGCCTCCTGACTCCCTGTTTTCAGGCATTTATCTTCATCCTGTTCCTGAAAGCTAAACTCTACCTGATGTCTCCTGGTGCTCATAAGTAATGGTTTTAGGGGCTTTGAGGCTGAACACCCTCCAAGATCCAAAGCCAAAGGTGACACAAAGTGGAATTTCAGGAGTTGTGGTGAATGATGCAAAAGACTTAGGAGCCGGGAGATTTGTCATGGTGCTCCTCCAAGTACTTGCCTCTGCTGCCAGTTGGCCTTCAGAGACAGGATCCTCCATCCAGGGTTCTTCTGAGATAGTTGCTCATCCTGCCCCTGGCCTATTGCTCAGTCTCCATGAATAGCAATTTCTTGTTGCTTGCTCTAGTCAGCCTTGGCAACTCCTTCTGCAGTATTATTATCAACTAGTCAGGTCTTTTACTTGTGGATTTCAAACCAAAGCACAGAAATATTAAATAAATCGAAAGTTCTTTTTCATATTAAACTAACCCTGGGAGTTTGGAACAGAAAATAAAACAACTGAGAGAAAAATCAGGAGATATGACACTTGAAAACTGCAGCAAAAAAAATTGTCAGTTGTCATAGTTTCACTACTCAAAATGGGATATTTCCCAGAATGGCAGGAAGAGGCCAAAAAGCAAAAAAGCCAGAGTCTGTGGAAATTTTTGCAAGAAGTCTAGCTGGATTCTGCTAGAACCAACTGATCAAAGAAACAATTAGGCAAAAGCTTGCTTACCCTTGACTTTCTGCATGAATGAGAGCCATGAAAGGGTTGTCTCACCATCCAGGAAAAGTCACTCACAGGAGCACTGGCTGCAGAAAGCTGAGCATTCACGGAAATCAACCCCTTTTTGGTCATGAATGTTGATTATTCTTACGGTTATGGTATTCAGCAAAATGTTTCTGATCGCCTGTGACAGAAAACCATACTCAAACTAACTTAAGCAAAAGGGGATTTGTTAGATCACATCCAGAGAGTAAGCCTAGCTTTGGCTGGATCCAGAGGCTCAGAGTTACCTAACTGACCCACTATTGCCCCATCTCTCTGGGTTCTGCGTTTCTCCCCTGTGGTGCAATTTTCAGGTAATCTCTCCCTTCCAGAGGGTGAAATGCCAGATGGCAGCCAGCTGCTCCAGGTTTAGAACACATCTTTCAGCAAACCCTGGGGAAAGGACACATATCTTTCCAATTCTCAAAACTGAAGTGCTGGATTTGCTATAACTGGCAGGGCTTGACTAACATATCCATTCCTAAACTAATCACTTCTGACCGGTAGAGACAATGTTTTGACTACCCATGGCTAGTTCATGTGTCCATGCTTGATGAGCATAAAAATCTTTTCTTGGATGAGTAAATTTTTTTTTTGGTACTGGGGATCGAACTCAGGTCCTTGTGCTTGCGCAGCAGGCATCGAAACCACTGAGCCAAATCCCCGGCCCAATTTTTTATTTTTGTATTGTTTATTTTTATTCTGTGAATAGTCCCAGCATATTTAATTCAGAATGAAACTTCATTATCTTTGTATATCAAGATTTCAGATTTGTAGCTACAATTCCTATGACCCAGAAATTCTAACAGCAAGGCAATAAATACCCTTCAAAAACTGAGCAAAAGGCCAGGTGTGGTGGTGCATGCCTGTAATCCCAGCACTCAGGAAGCAAGGCAGGAGGATCATAGGAAGTTCACAGCCAGGCTGGGCTGCATAGCGAGTTCAAAACCAGCCTGTACTACATGGTGAGACCCTGTCTCAAAAAAAAACAAAACAAGGGCCGGAGATTTAGCTCAGTGGTTCCGCCGCCTGCCTCGCAAGTTCAAGTTTCCAAGTTTGATGCTCTGTAACCAAAACAAAACTGAGCAAAAGTATTATCCAAGGGCACCTGAGAAATTACTCTGCCACTATTTTATCCGGCACACTATTCACCTTCACATAGAAAGGAAATTCTTTTGTTCTCAGTATTATGAAACTTTGTTCAAAATATGGCTCTGTTTTCTGAATATTTACTAGATGTGCACATCTGAAACAAAGTTATTGCTTCTCCCTTTTTTAAACTCTTTAAGTACAAATTTAAAAGTTTTTTTCCAGAGTTCTACTATGTGGTAAATTTTATGCCAGATACTAGATATAGACATGGGAAAAAAATTAATTTTTTAAATACCACATAAGCACACAGAGATAATGAGGAGACAAGTTACAATACAATGTGATTTAGTGCAGCAATAGAGAAATCCTCAGGGTCTTATGGGAACACTCAGCCTGGTGGATCAGAGAAAGGTTCTTGGAGTTGGGAGTGTAGCATTCATCTTTAATGAGGAGAGTAGAGCTGGCACACAAATGGGAGCGGGGGAATCAGTAAAGGGTATGTTCCAGGCCAGTGTGAGCAAACATGGAAGGGAATGATAAATGATATATTCAAAGGAACAATTGGATGTACAAAGAAGAGCCAAGAAATGAATCTGGAGAAGAAGGAAGGGCAGATTATGGAAGGTTTTACAGGCCGGGTGAAGGGCCTCTGCCTTGGCCCAAAACTCTTCACAGACATGGTCGCATTTTTATTTTAGATAGGTTAGCCGGGCAGCTGACTGAAAGGTGGATTGCTGATGAAAAGAGTAGAATCAGAGAGACCATTTAACAGGTTGCTGTCACTTAAGCAGGAGGGGATTAGGGACTAGGTAGCATCATGAGGGATGACAGAGAAGACATGGGGATGGCAAAGGCCTGGGGCTGGCCCAGAGGAGGGAGGCCTTGGCATCTGAGACAGAAGGAAGGAGCCCCAATTGGGTGTAGAAGGAGACAAGGGGAGATGGTGCCCATGTGGCTGGTGGAGTAGGAAGCACTATTTTTACCTCGTGCAGTCATCATCTCATCTTATTGAAAGTAAATTCTAACAAGGCTCACCTTTTTCTGCCTAATCTGAGTTGAAAAAGCTACTGTTTTAAATCTGCATTTTATTGGTGACACCCTGGAGAGTAGGTGCCCTGAGAAGAGTCTAGAAAGAAGTTTGAGCCTGATGGTTGAGGGTGAGGATCTTGCCTAGGGTGCACTGAGTAGGTGCCTGGCCTGTAAATGTCTCCTTTAGTGGAAGCTGAGCACAGGGCTTGGAAACTTCCAAACTGGAAAACCTAAGGGCAATTCACAGATGCTTTCACCCCTCCACTTAGTTCACCACACACTGACCAAGGGCATGTGCCTTGTGCTGCTTTGGAAAGTATCTCAAGGGCTTATAGACTCCAGCATATTCACCATCTAGCAGGGTGCAGACCCAGAGCAGAGCTGCCCATCCAATGCCCATCTGATCCCTGGCCCAACATCAGGTCTGTGTCCTTTCAGTAGTGTTTCTGACTCTGATATCCAGGGTGTCTCCTCACTGAACTGCGAACACCTGGGGACCCCTTACCATTGAATTCCAAAACAAAGCAGGTCCTATGTTGTAATACCTGTGGCTTTGGTCTTCCTTGCTATTTCCTTTGGCTTCAACTTGCTGTGAATATGTAGACATTTCTTAAAAGTAACAACTGAAAGAGGAGGCGAGCCCACAAAAAGAGGACACTGCTGTATTTCTGGATTACTCCATGGATTTTGCAAGGTTAACATTTTTGCTGCCATTGCCTGACCTTTGAGCCTTAAGCCAGAAGCAAGTGGGTGTGGCTGTGCCCATTGGTGACCGGAACTTAGGATGCTGCCCCCACCCTGAGCTTCCCCTCGACCACTTAGGAATGTTGTGAAGTCAAGACCAATAGGACACAGGGCAACTCCAGTTGGTGATGTATGGAAAACATAGAAGTCTAATTTAGTAAAGTTTTTGTGCCTTATATGTAGAGTTTAAACTTAGATTATGTTTATGAAAATAACAGGCTAAAGTGATGAGCATGGAGGTAGTCAGTTTTAGACTTTTGTTTGGAGGGAAGCAAGTGGAAGTGGCTAACAAGGATTGAAAGTAAAACTTGAAGGTGCAATAATGAAAAAAAATAAAAATAAACCTGCATTTTATACACTCCAACACCAAATCAGTCTGAAGTTCCATCTCATCTCCCAATGTTGTAAAAATCAACTTTAGAATCAACTGATTGCATGAAAAAAGGTTGTTTAAAAATATAAATGGTGCCAGGGATTTAGCTCAGTGGTTCCACCGCCTGCCTTGCAAGCACAAGGACCTGAGTTCGATCCCTGGTACCAAAAAAAAAAAAAGTAAATGGAGTGCCCAAAGTAGAAGTGCTTTTATAAATATGCCAGCCTTGACCATCTAATAGTGATAGTTACTATACAGTCATTAATCTCCTCTTAATAAACCATCCTCTGAATTAACTAAGCAGTGAAAAAAATTTTCTATTTGAACTCTTGCCCATCATCTTACCTGAAATCACTTTAGTTGAATATGTTTTGTTTGTTCTTTTGTTATTATATGGAATGCTTTCTGATAGCTGTCGTAATTAAAGTGTCTTTTTAATTAACTCACTTGGAAAACACTATTAACTAAGATTAAGAAAATACCCAAAATCAGCCAGAAGAAGAGATGTTGATA